TTCTTTGTAACCCTGAATATATATGTAGACATATTTCATAGCAGAACATAACCTCCAAGACCCATAGAAATCCAGGTTGATTTAAAAATGGAAGAGAAAGTAAAAGATGGGTAGTGGGGTATTAGAGACTCGAGATCTTATATATATATATTGTTTTATTTGCCAGTACTAATGTTAGCCTCCAAATTCTATTTTGACCCTCCTTCAAATGCCTATCCCCCAAAATCTCCACTCTAAACTATAGACATGACAACCAATAGAGATGGCTGCATTTTCTGAGGTAAATTCTTGCTTGAGAGGGTATTGACTTGCATACAAAATGTTGGGGACATAATGTTAAAATAAGCTTAAAACACACTCAGTTTTACAGTTCATGATGTACTCCTTTTAAGCATTTTACTTATATTAACTCAGTTATCCTCAAAACCATCACATGCTACAAGCACTAGTATTACCTTTTCATTGACCCTACTCCCCCAATTTTACAATGTGGTAGACTTAGGTTGGTTGCAAATTCCTGTCACTCTTCCTGTTGGAAGTGAGGCTTATGTCTCCCTCCCTGAAAGTGAGAAATGGCTGCTTTGACCATAGAAATGGTGTATGTGACAATGTGTCAGTTTCCAGGCTCAGGTTTTAAAAGTCTGGCAGTCTCTTCTTGTTCCTTAGAAAACTCTCTCTGAGAGCCCTGAGCCTCCATGAAAGAAGTCCTGCTACTCTGCTGGAGAGACCACATGGAGAGTCTTGGAAACTGCAGGGAGAGGAACATGGACCCAGCTGAGTCCAGTGCTTCCAGTTCACCCACCAAGGCACAAAGGCATGTGTGTGATGTCTGACCCTCCAGACCAGAGTAGACACTGGGTAACTCCAGTTGACTCCACATGGGGCCAAATAATTGCCTTGCTGAGTTCTGCCCAAATTCCTGGCCCACAAAAGTGTGAGATCCAATGATATAGTTATCATGTTAAGCCACTAAGTTTAAGGGGAAAGTTAGTTTCATAGCAATAGTTAACTAGAGCATATGTGAGTAGCTAATATGAAGAAAAACTAGATTCTAAACCCAGGCAATTCTGACTCCAAGCACATCCATTAATCATTCTGCTATAGCCTTTCCACTGGAAAAAAATAAAATTGTCCCAAAGCACACTGATCATTTTGGAGGGAAAGCGCTCCACAAGCCATGTCACTTCTAGTTGTTAGATGATTATAAGGTATGCAATAAAGCCTATCTTGTTTTTGATTTATTCAATAAATACTTACTGAGCACATTTTAAGTGCCAGACCTTTATTTGAGAATTATCACGTAGCTACCTGCTTTCTCATTATATCCATGGTCCTAAACCATGGATACAATCTAAATTATTATTATTATTATTATTACTAGAGGCCCAGTGCACGAAATTTGTGCACTGGGGGGGTAGGGTTCCCTCAGCCCAGCCTGCCCCTCAGTCCGG